AAAAAAACTCCACTTTCTCCGCTTCCATTTTGTTGCGTGTGTGCGGTATCATAGGGGTGACGCGCTCTTAAACCGGGGCTGGACGGAGTACCGAGTCCAACATGGACCTTAAAAGCAGAGACAGTTCTTTAGATCCGATAATAACGAATGGGGAAACACCATGCGAGTGTGTGAAGATGGAGTTTGAATAGTTATTAGTCAAAACCAACTCGACTTTCACTCTGATCAGAGCTCATCAATAGTGCATATTCAACAGCCTCGCCTGGATTTGAATCACGGGTTCATCGCATGGACGACTTGTGTGTTACCAGTATCGATCAACTCATGCTTTAAGTTTGTTCAAATGTCGTCTTCGATGATAGTCAGTCGGTTCATCTTGGACCGATAGCGACGAGAGGAGGCACACTTGATTGCCTGTTTACTTCATTCTAATGACCTCCCCAAAATCATGATTTCTATGCAAGTTCGAGCAAATCCACTAGGCTACAATTAAATTCGAATTCACTTCACAGTTACTTATGAATATTACGTTGGATAAGTTATATCGATATGGACCGACCTACCTCCTCCTCCTAGAAGGCGGTTTATTACTTTCTCCTCGGACTGTAACCGGCGGGATTTGAATATGGACTATGGAAAAGCTGTAGGGCTTGGGAATGACCGCATTGGGGCCCCAGATTCATTTTATGTCAATGCTACAATAGCCACAATAATGTACTGAAAATCTGTGTGGATCCCTACAATGATTCCACTTCTGTCGAAAAGTGAATGTGCTCATTACGGATTCTTTGGTAATTGTGCACCACCCACACGCTGCGTACTACTTTACAGTTTACATTTATTGTACTAATGATATTGGTTCGCCGTCGAAAAAGTTGGTTGGAGCCAGCTTATCCACCACCCACCCAACCCAAGGGGTGAGTCAAAGTGCAGTACGGATACAGCTTGGCTGCACAGAAATGTCAAAGATAAAGGGATTCAACTGTGAAATACAACGTGTGTGTGTGTGTACATTAGGTTTAAGTTCACTCGAACCCTTGCCTGGAACAACTACAGATACAACTAGGTACTGTTTATGTCGAAAATCAAACACATTCTATGACAACTCAATCCTCTGGCTCTCTGGTTTATTTCAGAATGAAACCTGGGTGATAGATGGACATCGTGCATTGCAAACACCGATTCGATTTACCAACGGAGAAATATTGCTTCTTTCGGTCGAACTGAAGGGCACACCGGTAAGTCATTGTCATACAGCCAGGCAGCATCTGCTACAGTCCAATAGAAAGTCCTATTGCCTATGTTCCTACTGTTATAATAATTACTACGCTATTCATCCCATATAGCATATCCCCAATGGCTTTCGAGAGTTCGGTCGGTCAACGACGCTAGCTCTATAATACTGTTGTGGGATACTACTCATTCGTGAGTAGTAGGTAACTTTCAGTAATCAAAAATATAACAAGACAATCGAGGACCAATTGATGTGTCTGAAAGAATAAATAACGATTGCCCTATGCACTATTCCATGTGCCGCCAGGAACGGCGATGGTATGTTTCTGATGAGATGTTTTGTGTTATTGTAGGGCAAATTGGTGATATCCAATCTGAAATCCCCAATAAACGACTATCCTCGAACAGCACCGCCTTTTGGATTTATAACAATACGTATGTTTGAGTAAAACACAACATCTATGTTGAACGTACGCAAACTGAACGGCAAACATAACGCAACCCCGGTGGATTAGTTTAAGTCCGTTTGCCTGCTACCTATTCTATCCCCACCAACTAACGAATTATCTTACTTTGTTTGTTTTGTTTTCGTTTCTGCAGTACCAGCACGGAAATGTTGGCATGATTGCGGCCGTGACAATTTGTAGTCTTCTGGCACTCGCGGTACTCGTATTCGGCGCGGTATGCATGTACAAACGAAGACACAATCTATCCTCTCCCATGTCCCGATTCTTTCCGGTAAGGGTTTTGTTTTCCACACGTGTTCATCACACATGGCTGTTTGTTTATGCCTTGACTGACTAGCATCTCAGCCAGTGTCCCAGGGGAGGAAAAGTCAGCTGTGGTCAAAAAGTGGCCTTAGTTCAGCGTGTAAATGACTGAAATGTAGGTAGGCTTCACGCAGCGCGAGCGACTGCTTCGCGGACGTGAGGGATTCACGACTTACTCTCGTACTCTCATGGATAATTATTGATTAAGTATTATCAGTCGGAAAATTTAAAATCCGTGTCGGTGTTTTCGATTATGTGAAACAGATCACTAATTGGAGGAAGCCTTTTTAATAATGCTGTTTTAAAACAAGCGCGAATACAGAGTGAGTGTTGTTGTTAAAGTGATGAAAAATAAAGCAAAAGTGCCATATGCGTCTGTTTCGGTGAACAGGCTGGATACTGCTGTAATGAATGTGTGCATAGATGGACTTGAAAGAAGCGAATCACTGAAAACGAATTTCTGCTGTCTATTGTGCACGATCTATAGACTCCAACCAACAAACCACCCCTCCCCCCCAACCAACCAACCTTCAAAGCTTCTCATCTCTGAAACTTAAATGTATTGTGAACCTTTTTGCTTTCTCATTCAACTTTACATACTAAATTTCATTCAAAACTTCATTTGAAACCTCTGTGGGCTAACTTTAGGCAGGTTTTTGAAATTCTACAAATACAACTTCACCTTCATGTACAATGAGCATTCAAGGGGTTTGAGGTAATCACCTAATCCACGTTTACCTTCGAAAATCAATGAGAGATATGGTAACGGGGCCGAAGGTGAAACAATGGGCAGTTCATCTTGGAGTGGTCTACTCATGAGCTATTTCGAGGTTTGAGTCATTCACCAACAATTTTTCGTCACCTTCGTTGGAACCCCAACAATGTCTATTTACTTTCCTATTTATTTTCAGTCAGAATATAGCAAGCACGGCAAATAAATGAAAATCAAAAGAATATGAAATGAGGAACTATTTCATATATTGCCCATGAGAAGACATGAATACCAGGGTCTGCGAAGCTAAGAAGCACTGGACAGCTGTTTCAAACTAGTTGGGTCTCATCAGCATCAGCGAATCCACCGACCCAACTGGGAATCGAACCCAGGACCTCATGAGCAGGGTCTGTGGCCCGTAACAAGCTCGCAAAAATGAGTTATACTATATCCTGTAAATGGAAAATGAAAAACGGTCTGACCCGCTGCCCGGTGACCGAGTGGGTAGCATGCTTGCGTTCTGCCCATGAGGTCCAGGGTTCGATCCCCAGTTGGGCCGATAGATTCGCACTGCTGATGAGACCCAACCAGGTCGAAACAGCTGTCAAGTGCTTCTTAGCTTTTCAGTTCACGCTGCATTTGACATTCATTCATTCATTTGAAATTATGACTGTATAAACACCAGTTTGTTCCAACCTGAATGGCTATATTCAGAAATACTCATGTGTCAACTCCATCCCTTCCCCGGAGGATAAAAATGGTAACTTCTCATGAGCGACACAAGCATATGGCAATAAATAAATAAAGTTGAATGACTGCAGTGTCAATATTTACCCTGAGGTCTGTAAACGGTTTATTGATTTCCGTTGTTATCGTCGGCACCCATCAGTCCTTTTGCCTCGAATATTTTCGGCTGATATTCATCTGCTTTGGTTCAATCTTCAGTTATCAATTTTACGTGATGTTTTGTAAAACTGTGATTATCCGTTTAGTTCAAGTTATCTTCTCTGTGAAAATGGCTCCCATGAATTTCTGGATTCGATAAAAATCTATATGTTCTGTTATTTGTGTCCCGTTGCAATGTATGGAACTGAATAACTAACTGGCGGATGAGAAATACATCATAGTATCACCAAGGGCAATGAAAAAATTTTTGTGATGACGGACAACGGGCGCATTGGACAACTGTTTTTGGTCCTGTTTAGGGCTCGTCACCAGTGCGTATCTTTTTGTGTCTCTGTCAGAACCGCAAACCGCGAACATGCGAGTTGTGTCTTTATATCCTTACCCTTGAACTACAGTATCATCAATTGTAAAACTTTAAAAGTGAACAAGGGATGATAGAAATCTGTGGTGGTGCTAACTTTTATTCATGACTAAGATAGTGGACGAGCCTTTGATGAAATGCAAAATTTTCTCCTGTAAATAGCCAAACTGGTCAGCACTCACCAACATTCACTGTGTTTGTTTGTGTGTGTGTAAGAGAGAATCCTTTCTATTCGTACTTTCCAGCTTCGACGTCGCATGATGATGAGACGGGCATTCTGGCGCCAACAAGGAGATGGTGTATTGGTTGATGAGCCCGACGGTGAAGACTAGTTGAAATCGAAACTCGATCCCCACCGTACACGACCATTTTGATACTCCCAGTCCGTCCGTTTCTAATCGATTTTTTACTCATCCAAAAGTATTCCAATTTGTTTGAACTATGTGCGAAGCACGTACGCACACACTCACCCACACAGACAGACAGACAACAGAACACATCTATTGATTCGTATTAAACAAAAAAATATGAACACGTGAACGCACAGAACTATCTATCCATTCGAAAATTATCATTCTGTTTTTCCCCCTGTACACCAGTTTTCTTGCGGAAATGAAGACGTTTAAAGATGAATCGTACCACAGTACTTCATTGTAAATCGACTTTTTTCTTTCTTATTCTCTCAGTGCATCTCATTTTGTTAATGCTTATGTAACCTCGAATCCCAGTCCATAATGATCGTCACCATCAACCTCATCATCATTATCATTCGAACCCTCCAGCGGGTACCGAATGAATGGAACTGAATGTAGCTAGCGACACAGTTTCAAACCTATCGAATGATTAACTGTGATAAGATGACAGTGTTCAGCAAATAAAACCAGTGGATTGGGAAAAGACGGAGTTTAGTTAAGGTATAGGATACCGTGCTACAGTTACATTACCTCGGCCGTCACTCTTACTAGAGTATGAGCCGGTTTTACGACCACACTAAAGCTTCGAAGTTCATAAATTATGAAGAGAATAGGGTTTGAGTGACTTTTCCACTATTGCTTGGTTCTCGTTCGTGAGTATACCTCTAGGACTTGCGCAGTCATGTATAATTAACATAACAGCGGGTATTTTCAATAACACACGTGAATCTATCTAGTGTCGTTTTATCTGCTCAAACTTTTTCTTACGCATGAATGAAACTGTGACTCTCGGTGTTTGGAAGAACTCTTGATTGAACTCACCTGCGAAGAAGCGGTGGCCCGTTGTGCCACACGCAACAGGCTCCGTGGTATCACGAATGGGAGTTGGGTGACCGGGGTGGACCAAAGGAACGGGACGATTCTGTGTGAGAACATGCGGAGCCCACTGAAAACCCGGTCACTATTCTGTCGAGTTTGAAAACCGAAGTGCGCGTACTATCGTTTTCGCGGATCGGCTTCGGACATTAGGCGAATTCAGGGGGTGATATACAGTCCGTGAAAAGACAATCCAGTCATGATAAGAGTTTCATATGTGTGATCCTGGACCTCAAGATAACCGACAGAAAACCTTCGGTCCACCACCATTCCGCTCCTCTCCCCTAAAATACGCTTTCGGTCCATGAATTTGTCAGCATTATTACAACTCACGTGATTAGTACGAACCCATGTGAGAAATGCGACAGGGCCCAACAACTGCAGTAAAGGGAAACAACACACGGCGTTCGGAGGGCACGGGACTGTTGGACATCTATTAACCGTCGAAATTTCGGTCTTTTTGTGGGTTGTAGTAGTTTCTGAGGTATTTATCCAGAGAGACAAAAGTTATGATTGTGCTCATTAGCTCAAGTCAGCCCAGTATCGTAATATCAAAATAGCAGCTTTTAAACACTTCACAAAGTTTACAAGTCTTAAACCACTTTTATACGCTTCTAAATAAAAGGCACTTTAAAAATAACAACTCTAGAAAGTGGTTATCTCGAAGTGATCTCACTTTTCAAGCCTCGAGTCTCAATGTTATGACAATCACATTAGTTTTTAAAAGTTACATTTGATGGCCACTCAGTCACACACACTTTATTAGATGATTTTGATGACCCACTCATTGGTTCCCAACNCTACAACATCAAAACATGAGTTGTGATAACTGCATATCTAAATGTTCGTTAGATCAATGGAGTTCCGGAACGCGAATCACGAACTGACGAGAGTACCGATAAAAAGAACGATACTGCTTTGCAGTACGCTATAGTGTTGTCCACCAGCGTACACAGGAAATTCACTGGCCTTAGAGACCACTCAACTGCAGCGGGGAGGTGGGGGCACAGAACTTACACTAACTGAGACTCGTAGGGATCTGTGCGCTGCACAGATTCCTCACTTCAGCGGATGCACAAGGGAAATACAGGAGAAAAAATGTTTGTTTTGTAGTTCTGTTGCTGAGACGTGAGCCGGAGGCTCTTCACAAGAGTAGTTCTGAACACTGTCTAGAGTTTCTGTGATGAGCGTTTTCGGTAGATCATACTTCTGTCTGTCTGTTAACCACTCCTCTTCTCTAAACTTAATTATCAAGCTCTGCGGGCGTCCGTGTGTGTGAGAGACAGGAAGATAGCGACTTCAATTCAAAGATCTTATTCTGGCTTGACATACCTCCGAGTGAGCGCGCACTGTTCCATTGACATAATTTTAATAAACGATCGCATGTGAATCGTTGATGACCGCGTATAGGTTGATGCTCAATAGGCCGATACTTGTTTTTCCCAAATATAGTGGTACCCAACTGGGTTATAGATGACCAAATTCATGCGCTTTCTTTCTTCCATAGTGTGAGCGTCTATTGATAGCTGTTTTTTAGCACTGCCCCTTGACAGATGCACATGTGTACAGACTCATACAACAAGTGACGGCTTGCAGATCCAGTGCCGAAGGACGATTATTTCCATTTCGAAACTGTACATCTGTTGACCACACTCTCCTCACTTTCCCGGGAACCAAACAGTTCCTCTCTTATTTTATTGCTAGAATGCAGCAGTTCTTCCACCTGTTGGAGTTACCTAACCTTGTGTTTATTGTCCCCAAAATGTCATTGCGTTTTTCGTGGTGCATGAGTTTCAGCCCAATCTGGGCGGCTTTTTGTTTAAAAAGTTGTTAGAGCCATCTCATTTGTTCAGAAATTGTGTTTTAATGAAGAAAAAACATTCTGTGATCGATCGATATTTTTCGGCTTCCTGTACAACTCGTCATAGCCGTCCAGTTCTGGTACCGATTCATTCAAGAGTCTGTCTTCTGACTTCGGGGTCATTGCCAGTGGCGTGAGCAGATTGTCCTTCTCACCGTGATTTTCGGGATTGTAGTTTACACCGGTTTGTCAGTCCGTAGATCACCAAGGGGCCAGGTTACCGAGGAGAATTAAAGACGCGCACACTGTACTGTTTTCGCGGTGAAAATTACAATTGATCGGCATATTTTCGTGAATTCTAATGTAACCAGATACCCCTAGGGAACCCCCAAAATAAACAGCCGAATGAAAGTAAAGCATTGAGGCTTATTTTCACTGTTTTTGTAACTGGTGTTGTGCATAGTAATAACCTCCAGTGCAATGAAACATTCGGTTGAGCTGTGCAGGTTCACAGTTGTGTGCGCTCGTTTCTCTGGTGTATGCCTCTTTGTCTGACCACATTTTTACAATATCCTACTCTGACCTCGTCATCAAACATCATCCGGTCTCTTTGACCCGCAGTTAAAAACAGATGTTCACCACTTGACCTTTGATTTAACTCAGTAAAAGTTCAATATGCCAGAGACAGTGGGACCCCACCCCAAACCGTTGACGATGGTGGTGATGGTGATTGCGGAAGTATCATTCCAATTCACGTGATCGATAGATAGGTCGTGTGTAATCGATGAAGACAGCTTGCAAGTGGCCAATCTCAATCACACCGCGCCGTGGGTGAGTGTCGCTCAATTATTGTCCGCTCAACTATCTGTTGCATCGATCGCGATCGATTCGCGTCTATCCACAACCGTTCAGTCGCAGACTAACGTTCCCCGTTTACGGGTGAATTTACGAGTGGTTCGTAC